TGATTGTATCATTCTATAACCTATCAGCAATAGATAGCATATGCACACATCCAGCTAGAATACTAGAGGAACTCGGTTGTTTTCTGCCAACTTTTGTGAAAGAGTCCTTGTAGCTATGTATGCTCATATGCTTCTCGCAGACGCTTTTGCCTTTGATTTCTTTAGTTTTATGTGATATGCATTGGTGAAATAATGGTACTTGGGCTTTTTATAAAGCAAAGACTTTTCCTTGAATACAAACAACAGGTCCTCTTTTGTCTAGGAAACAGCAAATTTAGAACTTAAATGCATAGTTGCATTATATGCTACTGGTAGTTATGGCAGGAAATATTGAAATAATGTACTGTAAGATGTAATGCGAAGTACATTAGCATTCTCATTTGTTTTTGGGAAGAGGCAATTGCTCTTCTGAAGTTTAATCACATACCATTTTATACATTCTGTATGATCGTTCTCTGGTATTTGCTAGTGACACAATAGATGGAAATTATTGGAACTCATGATTAAGAAGGATTGGTTTTTTGAATTGACAGAACTACATATGATATTTAGAAGAATTTTGTCAATCATTAAATTGACATAAGCAGAGCTTTAAAAGACACCCTGATTGGGATTGTGATTGTGTCTTGACTGTGAGGCAATGAGTAAATTTATCGGTTGTAAGAAGCACAAGTGGATTTTGCAATTTTTTAATGTCGACATGCGGATAGCTTGACAAATATTCCAGAAGCACTTTTCTTGGTAAAAGGCGTTTCCGCCTCTCATTCTTGGTTCCTTAAGCACAACTGGATCTTGCAATTTTTTAATATCAACATGTGGAAAGCCTGACAAATATTCCAGAAGCACTTTTCTTTTAAAAAGGCGTTTCCGCTTGTCATTCTTGGTTTAATGTTGGATTGATGAGCAATATATATATAAGTCGATCAAGTTATATCTCATTTTTCTTTCATAATGGATAGCAGCTGCATGGTTAATCCTACATGCAGGAGATGAGACTGTTGACACTTCTTTCTCGACCTTTTTGTTAGCTCTCTGATTTTCCATTGTGAAGGATTTACTGCATGTGGATACTCTATGACTACTACCTGGGCATTTTTATTTATCCAACAATAGAGTGCTTTGAATGAGATTGTTTAGCTTTTACTTTTTCACACTCTTCTTCTTCGTTGTTGGGAGTGGCACTCCTTCCTTTCAGTCCTTATTGTTCAAGTGTCACTCTGTGTTTATTTACTGAAGATCTCTTTGCAATTTGCTGTACCTATTCGCAGTGATTGACTTGTCCTGCATCTATTTTTTATGGACTTACCTTTGTTTATCAATTACTTAGTACTCCTTTGTTAATGGTGTTTGTTGTAAGTTCTGATGTAAGTAAGGACATGTATAGACTTAGGAACATTCTCTTACCGTTCATGTGTGTATCTCTTTTGTATGGAAGTATATTTTCTGCTGATCCATATTTGACAAGCCAATTTTTCTCAAAATGAAGGATCGGGCAAATGAGATATTCAAAAAAGTAGAAGATCAAAAGTCTAGTAGAGGAAGAAATCAAGATGCTCTGTTGGCTGCTTGCCTTTACATTGCTTGTCGACAAGAAGACAAGCCACGCACTGTAAAGGGTATGGCTTAATTCTTCTAATATCCGGAAGCTTCCTGTTGATATAGCCCTCCCATGTGTCCGTGTCCCTGAATCTGGTTTTCCACTAGAAATTTGCTCTGTCGCCAATGGAGCCACAAAAAAGGAAATAGGCCGGGCAAAAGAGTACATTGTGAAGCAACTGGGTTTAGAGAAGGGACAGTCGGTAGAAATGGGAGCAATACATGCTGCAGATTTCATGGTAAAATCCCTCCTTATCCTTCTTTCCGATTTTCCATCTTGATCTGTATGATCTCACTCTCACTCTTTCTCTCTCTCTCTCTCTCTCTCTCTCTCTCTCTCTCTCTCTCTCTCTCTCGTGGTCTCTGACACTGAGATTAATTTGATTTTTAAGAGGCGTTTTTGTTCCAATGTTGGGATGAACAACCAAGCTGTTAAAGCTGCTCAAGAATCTGTGCAGAAGTCAGAAGAGTTTGACATAAGGTACTACTCGTTATTTTCCAGCTCATCGCACAAGTTGCCCTTTTTTCAGAAGAACTCATGCATCCACTATCCTACACGTGGAGACATTTGCAGAATTAATAATGATGATCTGATAATCATTCTGAGAAGAATAATACAAAGCAGACTGTTTTTCATAGGAAGTATAAAAGAAAACAAAACCGTATCATAGGGAATTCAAAAGAACAATGGAAAAGGAATAACACTCTTATAAACACTGCTGTTGCTGCCACAAAAATGAGCTGGTCATGTAATTATTCTTTTGGATTGGATCCTTAGTGGTAGAAATTTGGGTGTTTTCACGGTGGAACATGAGCACAATATCATGGCTCCTAAGGATATAGGAGTCTACACCATTAAAGGGTAATGGTGCTTTGCTCTGGTTTGTCTTGCCACCCTAACTCAATGGGGACTTGAGAAACATTGACAGCTGTTATCAGGATTACCATTTTGGCTAGTGGCTACCTGAATATATTGGTGGTTATTTTCTTCTCGACTGGAATTATAATGGTAAAGCTGGAGGAAGAGTTGAAAACTGCAATACTTGGTTGACAACATTTCATCTTTCTTCTGTTGAAGGTTGAAAGACTGATTTTAGCAGGGTCCTCAATGTGGGCCTGCTGTGTATAAGGATTACTTTCCAAGTTTTGTTCAAACTTATGCTTTACTGTTTTTCCCTTTTCTAGTGCTGAATCTATTCTCCTTTCTGTTTTTGTCCCTTGATTTGCAGGAGGAGCCCCATATCTATTGCAGCAGCTGTTATTTACATTATTACTCAGCTCTCCGATGAGAAGAAGCCTCTCCGAGGTTTTAATTTCTCCAACCCTATTTGGTCCAAACAACTAAACACATGTTTTCACAATCTTATTTGTTCATGGATACATCGTGAAGTTAGATCTTGAAAAGTGGTTATTTACTTAATGAATCCGGTTTCACAATCTTAATTGTTCATGGATACATCGTGAAGTTAGATCTGGACAAGTGGTTATTTACTTAATAAATCCTGTCAAATAAACTAACCGGATAATACAAACTTATTATGCTGGAGAAAGTTAAGTGATGGTTTCCATATTCAATTATCAAGGTGCATATAGAAATGCCATCTGAAAGAGCACGCGCATATAAATAACCGAATGTTTATGCAGACATATCACTTGCCACTGGAGTCGCTGAGGGGACAATTAGGAACTCCTACAAGGATCTGTATCCTCACATTTCCAAGATAATACCAAGCTGGTACGCCAAGGAAGAGGATCTAAAGAATCTCTGCAGTCCTTGAGTGTTTATAGTTATACAAACGGAATGAACATTAGATAACTTTCAGTCAGTTTTGGAAATCTGAACGATCTCGAATTTGTAATTCTTGTCATAAAGAATATGGTGGTTCTTAATTCTTTCACTCTATATTATTGCAAGATATATTGAAAACTTTCTAATTCAAATGTCGAAAGGCTGCGTTCAAGAAGTCTTTTTTGGCCCTCGACTACAGAATACATGTGACAGCAAGCTCTCTCTCTCTCTCTCTCTCTCTCTCTCTCTCTCTCTCTCTCTCTCTCTCTCTATATATATATATATATATATATATATATATATATATGTTTAGGTCATCTGGGTGACAATTCCATGGATGGGACTACTGGAAGGTAGACCTGTGATAGGGTTATAGGCCTATATATGATAAGCTGAGTTGTTATATGAGTTAGTTATATTCAGTAAATTGGTTATAAATGGGATTAAACATCATATGTGTGTTAAATGGGTCACGAATGAGCCACAAATGTCATAAATGGATTTATAATTAACATAGACTCAATTCACCTTTATGATTTTCTTTTTATTCTCCTTTGCTCTCATTTGATTTTGCATTCACTCATTCTGTAATCTCACTTCAATTTAATGGGTTTTCGTAAATTGGGTTATGGGTTGAGTTTGGATTGGGTCGGATATGAATTACTAGATTTGCATTGTATGAAAATATACTTCAATTTAATGGGTTTTCGTAAATTGGGTTATGGGTTGAGTTTGGATTGGGTCGGATATGAATTACTAGTTTTGCATTGTATGAAAATATATTAAAACTCGTTAAATGAATATATTTGAGTCAGATCACACTGTATCTGATCAGACCCACCCATTTATTTGATGGGCCTACTAGAAGGTGAAATGAAGTTTCAAATCGAGGTGACACCTGTCTTATATTTGGACCACGGTCCATGAATTATTCCGGATGTCGGTTCGTCTCCATGTTGGATGTGGCCGTCCCAATGGACCGCTTTTCCTTCTGGTCCCGTTTCATCTCTGTTCCATTTTCTTCTCCTCAGTTGTCTCTGTCCTAGAATTCGGCCGCCTCTCTCCCCCACTAGCGAGACAACATTTTTAGGGCAGCCTAGATAGGTTCCATGAGTCCACGCACGTGTACCTACGTTGTTAACACTGTACTATTAACGGCGATCGTGATCCATAGCCACCGTGAGCGTTCTGACTCTGCAGTGCATAAATCCAAGAGGGAGGGCGCTTCGAGATGCGCGAGCACGAGGTCCGGATCTCGATCCCAAAACAAATCACAGGCAGGCGGACGAAAAAAGCATCGGTAGGAGAGAATGCAGGGATTTATGAATTTTCGCGCTACGTTAGATATAGTCGAAACTTTTAATGGTTTGACAAATGGATCTCTTAATGAAATTCGATAGCTAGAAATTGTCTCAGCAGATCCAACTGTACACGTCTTGAGAAATAACGATATTTATACGGCATTTCTCAAAATAACATGAGTGCGAAATGCAAAAGAAAGACTAATAACGAAGATCAGAACCAACCCGTCTTGAATTTCATCCTTCTAGATAAATTAACCTCCGCCTAAGGCCTCAATCACACCCCGAACAACGATCCCGTCTTGGGGTTCCATTTCCTATGTATAATAAACCTATACCATCCCCCTGTGTACAAAAATGTATATCTAACTTTTCAAACGCATTCTAAGAACGTTGGGTTCCTCCCCTTTTTATATGAACCTATATCCAACCCCCTTAAACACACCCAAACCAAATTTCCTCGATTCATTTCTGATCTGTTTCTCTCTAAGCCAAAATTTGAAAGGAAAAAAAAAGCGCACAGCACACTATAAAACGAAAAATTTCCTCCCACCAACACCAACAAGACCAAAACTATGTGCAAAAACTACCGAACGGCCTGAAAATGAAAGAAGTCTCAAGATCGGTGGTGGTGATCATGGTGCCTCTCCCGGCGCAAGGCCACCTCAACCAGCTCGTCGAGCTCGCCTACCTCGTCGCCTCGTACGGCATCCCTGTCCACTATGTCGGCTCCGCCTCCCACAACCACCAGGCCAAGCTCCGCTCCCACATCCCGCCCTCGTCCTCACCCAGCGACATCTGCTTCCACAACTTCCCAACCCCGCCCTTCCTCTCCCCCGCCCCGAACCCTAATTCGACTTGCAAGTTCCCCTCCCACCTCCAGCCAGCGTTCGACGCCGCTTCGTTGCTCCGCGGCCCCATCGCCTCCCTCATCCGCTCCCTCTCCTTGGAGTCGAGGCGGGTTGTCGTGGTCCACGACTCGCTGATGGGGTCCGTGGTCCAGGACGCCGCCTCAGTCCCCAATGCCGAGAACTACGTCTTCCACTCGGTTTCCGCCTTCGCGCTTTACTGGTACAAGTGGGAGGCCACGGGGATTGTGCTGCCGCGGGAGGAGGAGGTCGATATCGTGGAGCTCCTCTCCTCCAATGGCTTCCCGTCCCTCCAGGACTCATTCACCGACGAGTTCTTGAAGTTCATCGCATTGCAGCACGAGTTCAAGAAGTTAAGCTCGGGAATCATCTACAACACATGCAGGGTTGTCGAAGGCCATTATGTAGACTTATTTACCAGTGCAACAGCGAACAGCATCACAACCAAGCACTGGGCAATCGGGCCGTTCAACCCGGTCAAAGTACCCGAAAAGAAGTCGAGAAGATCGGCTCACGGGTGCATGGAGTGGCTCGACAAGCAAGCACTGAACTCAGTGATATATGTGTCCTTCGGCACCACAACGGCGCTGAGCAACAAGCAGATCCACGAGATCGCGACTGGGTTGGAATGTAGTGGACAGAAGTTCATCTGGGTATTGAGGGAAGCTGACAAGGCAGACGTTTTCAGCGGCGGAGGAGAGGCGAGGAAAATCGAACTGCCCCAAGGGTTCGAAGAGATGGTGGAGACTCGAGATTTAGGCCTGCTGGTGAGGGACTGGGCGCCGCAGCTCGAGATCTTGGGGCACCCTGCGACAGGCGGGTTCTTGAGCCACTGCGGGTGGAACTCTTGCATGGAGAGCATCAGCATGGGAGTGCCGATCCTCGCATGGCCTATGCATTCGGATCAGCCCCGGAATGCTGTCTTGATCAGCAAAGTCCTCAAGATTGGACTTATTGTCAAGGACTGCATGAGCCAAAACAAGGTCGTGAAGTCATCCGAGATCCAAGGTGCCGTGAAGGCGCTCATGGCGTCGGAGCAAGGTGACGAGATGAGGAAGAGGGCGGCGGAGTTAGGGGTCGCCGTCCGGGGGTCAATGGATGAGGGCGGAGTTTCTCGGGCCGAGTTGGACTCTTTCATCACTCATATCTCTAGATAAGTTCTCTCCCTTTTTCTTATTCTGTTCTTAGCATTAAAGATATATCTTAGTTAACGGGAGAGGGAGAGAGAGAGAACATTCTATATAAATTCAGTCTGCGAGTGATTCAATGTAAAAAGCAATCATTATATAGAAAGTATATGAAAGCATGTATCTTCTGTAAGATTTAATGTGGATTCATATATATTTTTAATAAATGATCGACTTGAAATAGAACGAGTTCAGAACCTAAGTATTATTCGAAGAGTTGTGGAGAACTTAGGTCGTGATTTGTCGTGGGCTGTAGGAACATGTGGTTGTTGTCAGGGATGTAAACATGTGCAAGACCTAATCTGCAGTTGTTGTCGAGGACGTACGTAAAAACGTTCAGAGGCCCATCCAAGGGCAATTACCCGACCTTCGGACCAATATCCAAGGGCAAAAATTGCAGTTTTTCATCTTCATTTATCAATTGTATGGTAAACATTGATCTCTATGCGACACATCTTTGATTCTGCCGACATTTGTAATTTATGAATTGTTGAATGATCATGTCTTTATCATTGTACTATCAATTGGTAACGACGGTAAACAACCTAGATAAGGTTCTACTTTTTTTTTTATTAATTCAATCCAATGACGAACGCAAGTTATGATGCGCGTGGTGGCATAAAACTCGTGTTGATTAACTATGATCGATCTTTTTGGCCAAGCGATATTGTATTGGAAATTTCAGCCAAGAGGATTTACTTCTCATCTCGTCTAGCTTGTAATCTTTAGACAAATCTCATTGTATGGACTCACTGCCTTTTCTTTTTATTTGGTTGCATCTAGCTAGGCCTGCGCAACTTGTTGTGATGATTATTAGAATGTCCAATTTGAATATTTAAGCCATTGAGTGGAGAAGACTACATATCTGTAAGGCACGTTACAACTATGTATCTAGGCGACGGGTGATTACGAATAACACCCCCTTGCATCCCCTTGCGTGCAAGCCGTCTCTTAATTACACCTACACGTGTACGACTCAGCTCAATTATTTGTGAAATGGACACAATTCTTATTTTGTGTGCCGGTTATTGTGAACCTACCACGATTGTGAGATAGATATGTGTGCTAATATTTAAACTCTTGACTTGTCCTCTGATATCATGTTAGAATGCTCAATCCAAAAGCTTAAAACTACTTGCATTGGGTTTACAATTAACAATGATGATGTCAAATGCTTGATAATCAAGCATAGCAATTTGAATTGTCTACTTATACCATCTAATTAAGTTGTAAAATTTTATTTCCAAAAGGCAGCTCTTGAGTCTGGATGTATAAATTATGTGTTTCTCAAGGTCATTTCAAAACCGCAAGGACCTTGTTGAATTCAAACATATGTACAAACAAAAAAAGGATCATTTTCCCAGTAAAAATACTCTATTATATAATTAAACTAAGAGGAACAACAGAGAGCTAAAAGGAAATTATACGAAAATCCTATCACTCATAGACGGCATGTGCTAACGAGGGCTAATGTCAATATTGGTCCAAATGACCTTACTCGAAATTCAAAATCCTCCTTTCACTTTCCCTTTTCCTTAAATGTTTCCTTCGATTTTTAATCATATATATCCCTATCGGATGAAACTTCTTTCAACAAAATTTCTAATCGGTGGGTTACAAATATGAATGCTACCTGCATTTAATCTATAACGATAAATATATACTTGAGGATTATAATTCACCGATCAAAGGTTTTGCTGGAGGACTTCCTCTAATTAGAGTCGGAGGAAAATGCTAACTCCATTCAGCGGTGTTGACTGTTTTGTCCTGGAGGCTACTCAGGCAAATGGATTTTGCCGACATCAACGCTTGTTTTAGTTTTGCTGTTTGTTGGAGGTGAAAGCAGTCCTTGTATTTCTGCTGAAGAACCAGGACATAGGGGACGCCGCATCTCTTTTCAGATCCTCCGGCATTACGATCGACATCAGTCTTTTGGAACTCCACTCATTCAATGATGATTAGCTTATACCGTATCCTTATCAACGTACTGAAAACCCTAAGGAGCATGACGTTCTGCCGACAAAGTATGTCCGCCGCTTTTGTCCCTTATGCATATCCCCTTCCGTGCACGACTGTAAGACCGGCGGGGCATCGCTGAGACTAGGACAGGCGCTCCTTTTCTCCGGGTTTTGCACACATGCTCGCCTTGTTCGCATGATCTTGTCGGATCGACGTGGCGGCGTAGGGAATAACCCCCCTGTAGTCCGACGCTACCCACTTCGTTGGCCATCAATATCCTAGGAGACTAGTGCATGTGCGCAGGAGATGATGATCTGGGCCCCCTGATGGGACTTGTGTTGCTGCGATGCTCATTCTTATCCTTCGGCATTAATCTGCACATGATATCTGTCGTGTTGGATTCGAAAACCTTGCTTCGAGAGGACCACATGTCCAGCACCATTCACGCACTCTTTCTTGACACATGTTTGGGTACCAAAGAAAAATCCAACATCTATCGGGGAAAAGTACCAAATTTTTTCTAGCAAAAAAAAAGTACCAAATTTTTTTTAAAACCTATTATATTTGGTACCAATTCATCTATAAAATTTTCAATTGGATCAATTTAGTCCTAAATCTTTTTACATTAGTACTAATTGAGTCCATTAGACCAATTTAGAGCGAAAATTATTGATGTGGATGTCAGCCGTCCAATATGGCATGGTTGGCACTGACGTTGACAAAACTTTTTATATAATTTTTCGAATTTTTTTTTATCAATATCTTCTTCTTTTTTTCTTTTTTTTTCCTTTTCTTCCTTTGGCCGATGACTGGCCATAGGCGAGGACCGGTGAGGGCGTCGCGACCCTTGCCAAATCTGGCAAGGGTTGCCCTTGCGGCCTATAGCAAGGGCTCGACCCTCATCGAATCTGGTGAGGACATCACGGCTCTTGCTTGTGGCCAGTTGTCGACCATGGCTGAGCATCAGCCATAGGCCAAAGAAAAAGAAAAGGTAGAAAAAAAAATAGAAAGGACAAAAAGGGAATTTTTTAAAAAAATTAATAAAGAATTTGAAAATTTATTATAAAAATATAAAAAATTATCTAAGTTAGCGCCGGCTGTGCCACGTAGGACTGCCAGTGTCCACGTCAACAATTTCTGACCTAAATTGACTGGATGGACTGAATTGGTACCAATGTGAAAATGTTTATGACTAAATTAGTCCAATTAGAAGATTTAAAATTACTGAATTGGTACCAATACAATATATTCAAGACTTTTTTGGTACTTTTTCCCACATCTATCTATCCATCTATCGGGCTTTCGATCTCATATTTTCTTTTAAAAAATGTCCCTAAAACCATAAAATGTCTTTTAGATCTCATTGAACCTTTTCAAATAATCCACCCATCGAAAGTAATCACCGATCCACTCCTCTCAGGAACTATTCATTCTCTTTCGACACGTAAGCACTAACTTGAGGCACTCAATAGAATTCTTTGGACTATGATCAAGTTGTTTAGTTTGTCCGGTTAGGAAAAAGTTCACAGGTCCGTCGCCATCTACAGTTCACGAGATAGGATAAAACAAAAGTAGACGACAAACACATACATCATTGGGTTGGTTGTGGGCATCGCAATTAGAAAATCGTCCACGGCATCGAAAGGGCCCGTAGTGGGATGTCACGAGAGCAAAGGACAAAAACCCTACGATTTTCCGCCGTATAGATCGCCGTTTGCCTCGTCCTACACGATACGTACAAATGAAAGCCACAAACTGAGGCTTACAATAGATTTCTGTTAACGTCTTTACGAGTCTCTCGAACTCTTAAAAGGCTCACAGAGGCTCGAAGTTGAAAGTGGACCTTTCCTAACGCAGGAGGAAATGGCGAATCTTGGGGGCAATTCATTGGAACTCTATGACGATTGACAATGTTGGTGGCCACGGAAAGTGACCAAGCACCAAAGAACAAGAGAGTTGTCCTTTTGTTGTTGTTGTTGTAGTAGTAGTAGTAGTACACAACGGCAACTTGAGATAGTCTCTCTATCGATTGTTCGTTTGCTTCATTACGTGCAGGTTTGCCACCGTAAAACGAACGATGTATTGTGGAAATTTGAAAATACTTACTTATATTCATATAGTCTCTCTCCATTTGATGATATATATTGTGAAGATTCAATATGAATGTACTAGGACGATGACTAGGTCCATGTGCTTAATGTGTGTATATAACCAAATTGGGAAAAAAACCAAAAAAGTCATAAACCTATTTCATTAGTATCAATTTAGTCATGAACCTTTTAATTAGATCAATTTAGTCCTAAATATTTTCACATTGGTATCAATTTAGTCCATCCGGCCAATTTAAGCTGGAAATCGCTGATGTGGACGTCGGTTGTCTTATGTGACACGGCCGGTGTTGTCGTGGATAATTTTTTAATAATTTTTTGAATATTTTAATATTTTGAAAATATTTTTTCTTTTTTTTTCTTTGTTTTTTTCCTTCTTTCTCCTTTACCTGTGGCTGGTACCTGGCCATGGCCAATGACCGGCCACAGGCGAGGGTCCCCCTTGCCGGATATGACGAGGGATGGACCCTCGCGACTTGGTTGAGGGCGGCCCTCACCTATGGCCGGCGATTGACCACAGGCCCAAGGAAGGAGAAGGAAAAAAAAAGGGAAAAATATTAAAAATTGAAAATAATTATTAAAATGTGATTAAAAAATTCCACGTCAGCGCCAACCATCTGTCGGCCGTGCCACATAGGACGCCAGCATCTACGTCAGTATTTTCCGGCCTAAATTGGCTGGATGGACTGAATTGATACCGATATAAAAAAAGTTTAAGACTAAATTGGTCTAATTGAAAGATTTATGACTGATTTGGTACTAATGCAGTAGGTTTAGAACTTTTTTTGTACTTTTCCCAACCAAATTTGTAGGGCTTTTAAGGATGGGGATGATTGAAATATATGGTAATGCCTAAGAAAGTTTACGCGAGGTTAGGAATTATAAAGAGAGCATTTAGTTACCACAAGCATTCGTCAACAAGGCTTGATGCTTTAGATGCTATGGTCACCGAGTCTGGTTGATCAGTTTTATTTTATTTTTTCTAAATTACGAATTCTAAGTCACGGCGTGAGCAAATCTTGAACGGACTTATGTGTTATTTGGCGCTGCTAGTTTGTGTGGAGATTTTTACAAACTGCTAACATCAGCGATGGATTTAGGTCGTAAAACCCTCCACTCAACATGTGTCAATTTTTCCAGGTTATTACTACATTAATTTTTTTTTGGTCAGATATTACTACATTAATTAGACAAACAATCAAAGGCAGTCGAACCAGCAAAAATAATAGTAACCGAATTTTCATGGTATATCAGATAAATCGTCTTCTGCAAAAACTTTAAGAGTCTTAAGAAAACGCTTCATGTACAATTTCCCGATAGAGTTCGACAACAAGAGATTATCATAAAAGATCCAATCCAACACATCTTAAGAAATAGTCAAACCTATATTGCATTCCATCGAAAAAGATATGGATGTGATTTACTTTCTCGTAATAGTAACTTCATTCGT